AGTCTCGCGTTGATAATGCCCACGTATGAAGTGGGCGAAACATGTGTCCGCTCATATAAAATTATTTGTGGTAATTAGGGGTGAGTATTCCTTTTAATTTTTTTAATTAATATGTATGTATGTATGTAAATGCGGTACTATTTTTTTAATTATTTATTTTAGGAAATGATACGATACAAACTTACAGAGGGCAAGCAATGGGGGATCTCGATCCCCACATTTTTGCCGTTGCCGAAGAGGCATATACAAAGCTAGAACAAGAGCAAAAGGACCAAAGTATAATAGTTTCCGGTGAGAGTGGCGCGGGAAAAACTGTTTCCGCCAAATACACCATGAGATATTTCGCCACTGTTGGCGGTAGCGCCACAGAAACGCAAATCGAAAAAAAAGTTTTAGCCAGTAGTCCAATAATGGAAGTGAGTTTGATCAAAAATACAGTTTCATTATGCGAACGCATCTAAAATCGAATTAAATAATTGAATTTAGAATAGTTTGAAACTTGAATAGATAAATAGGTAATTAAAACACACAAATGTGCTAGAAAATACATTCCCAAATTTTAAAAGAATCTTCAACTAAAAGTGAATTTTTTCTGCTCGGTTACCCAGTACCTGGCAAAACCACTATGTGGTACATTTCTAATAGACACCTTGAAACGTAGGTATGCCCAGTACGTGGGTCAAAAATTCCTTTTTTNACTCGGCCTAAAATATTGCACTCTTTTCGAAAAGTAAAGCGAAAATCGTAATGGGTTTTCGATAAGACAGTACGGCGCGAAAAAGGAAAACTGGGTCATAGGTCAAAAACGAATTTCATGTTAAAAGTCTAAGCTACACAATATGCCCAAAAAGAATAGACCCTCAGGTATCGTAAATTCTTCGTAAGTTCTTCCCCCTATCAGTCGAGCTCGAAACTGTTAGAAACATTTCTCGAGTAGTCGAAATTCACGTTTGTGAACAATTTGTTTAATATTTGTGTTAAAAATTGAAAAATTAAATTTAAAGGAATTGTTTGTAAATAGGTATGCAACATATCGTACACTTCAGCATAAGAAATTGCTGATACTAACTACATAATACTAATACTTTGCCCTGTGCTGACAGCACTCATAATTTCTTTTATAAATAATGTTATATGTATTGATGAGCAAAATCGGTCTTACGAAAATGTATATACACATTTTTATTAAGAAGACTTGATTAATAACAAGACCAAATTAAAAAATGTTTCGGTGCACATTACACAATGAAGATGCTGTAGTAAAAGACGCTTTTGTTGTGCGGGTCATAAAATGTTTTTCCTTCCATTTCAGCCAGTCATACTCCAAAGTCTCAAATAAAATCCAAAATTTTTTATTTTCATTCCACGGCCTACGTTAAGTATCGTTTCTAATTCACAATAACTGAATTAGTCCTTTATCTATCTAAAAAAAAAGTCAAATACATGGTAATAAATTATCACGAAATGTTACACCTTAAAAAAAATATTGTGGATTTTAACCGACTACTTTTAAGTCTCATAAACGTACAGCGGAAATAATTGTTTGACGAAAAAACGTTTTAAACGTGTCAATTGTTCTTATGTTATTAAAACTTGTAATGTACTCTACGTTATACTTGTTAATCGTAGAAGATTTTAAACTAAAACAAAGATTAGAACAAATTGGCACGTTTGAAACTATTTTGGGTATATTATATTTCGTAAAAATCGACCGAAACAATTTTCCTGGAACGTTTTCGGGCAACAATCATGTTTAGATATTAGGTTGATGGTAATTTTTATGAATAAATTTTTTTTTTACTAATACAGATGCCTAAAGGTTCGGATGGATCTTGGACAGAAAAGTTGTATTCGAAATGCTCAAAATACAAACATTTTTCAAAACCCCGCTTCGGGAATTTCGCCTTTGTCATTAACCATTTCGCAGACAGCGTGCAATACGAAAGTGTGGGATTTTTAGAAAAGAACCGAGACACGGTCTTGGACGAACAAATTTTTGTATTAAAAAACAGTAAAAACAGTTTTGTCAGAAGATTGCTATCGGATAATCAGGAAAACATGCCGACATCTGGCAATAAGGTGAAAATAATGCCAGCAAAACCTTCAGCTGGGGCAAAAAAGAGTCACAAAAAAACTGTCGGTTCTCAATTCAGAGACTCGCTCAATTTACTCATGTCAACATTAAATGCCACAACACCACATTATGTTCGATGTATTAAACCAAATGACAACAAGGCTTCATTTGAATATAATCCACAAAGGGCCGTCCAACAATTAAGAGCTTGCGGTGTCCTGGAAACGATACGAATATCTGCAGCAGGATTCCCCAGTCGATGGGCTTATATCGATTTCTTTTATCGCTATCGGGTTCTTTGTCGATCCCGAGACATAGATCGCAACAACATGAGAAACACTTGCGAGAAAATATTAAATAAATATATCAAAAACAAGGACTATTATCAATTTGGTAAAACGAAGATCTTCTTTCGAGCAGGTCAAGTGGCCTATTTAGAAAAGTTACGAGGCGAAAAGCTCAAAAAATGCTGCATCATTATGCAAAGCACTGTTAGATCGTTTATTGCAAGGAAGAAATATTTGAGATTAAAGAAATTAGTATTCAATTTGCAACGTTATGCAAGGGGCTATTTGGCCAGACGGTACGTTAAAATTCTAATAAACTATCAAAAAAAATTGCCGAATTTTTTCACTGCTTTTTCATTTGGTAAATATCAAAAATTTTTGCAGTTTTCTGAAAACGCCTGATTGTTGTGCTTGTGAAGAAGCTTTTTAATTCAATAATTATGTATTAAGATAAAAGTTTTTTGATGATCAAGAAAAATGTTAAATGTATTAAACATTTCTTTTTCCTTGGATTATAAACAATTAAAGACACAATTTTGTTATCATTTGGGCTTGATATTTTTAGAGGATGTGAGTAACTTCCATTACCTTAATCAGGGTGAAAGTCCGGTAATTGAAGGTGTAAGTGATTTCAATGCGTTTGCGGAAACTCTTGATGCATTCAAAATGCTTGGTTTTTCGGATAATGAACTAAACAACTTGTTTAAAATATTAGCTTCCATTTTGCATTTGGGTAACATTAGTTTTGTGGATACAACTTTATCCATGGAAAACGAACAAAACCAAGAGGGTTGTCAAATACCGGTAAGTTTGTTACATTGCAGTAATTATTAGATAGGTATTTTAATATTTAGGTTGTGGGTATGTCTTAATTTCTTGTTCTAAAGAATTTCGTTAAAGTTAAGGAGTAGTTAACTAATAAAGTTACTATAGGGTTGTTCGGAAAATCATTTCGTTTTTTTTTTTGTGGAAATGAAAAACAGTTTTTGTATAATAAACAAATACTTTATTAAATTATATATTGACCGTTCTGGTCCAACACCTTTTGCCATCTTTCTGGTAGTAGTATAATTCCACGCTCATAAAATTTTTGGTCTCTGCTGGCAAAAAACTGATCGTGGAGGTTTTTGACCTCCTCATTTTAGGTGAAGGTTTTACCGTCTAAAAAATTTTGGTGTGACGGGAACAAATAATAATCCGATGGTGCCAGGTCTGGAGAATATGGTGCGTGTAGCATTGTATCCCATTCAAGCTGTAAAAGCTTTTGGCGAGTGACCAAACTTGTGTGAGGTCTCGCGTTGTCTTGGTGAAACACTACACCTTTCCTGTTGATTAGTTCTGACCTTTTCTGTTGAAGTGCATCATTCAGTTTGTCCAGCTGATGACAGTAGACTTCCGAATTAATCGTTGTGTTATCCGGTAAAAGCTCAAAAAAAACGATTCCTTTAAAATCCCACCAAACAGACAGCATCACCTTTTTTTGGTGAATATCGGCTTTGGAAATGGTTTGAGCCGGTTCATCTTTTTTGCTCCATGACCTCTTGCGTTTGACGTTGTTGTATACAACCCATTTTTCGTCCCCAGTGATGATGCGCTTCAAAAACGGATCATTTTCGTGACGTTTGAGAAGCGAATCGCAGACGTCAATGCGGCGACACAGATTTCTCTCTGTGAGAACATGGGGAACCCATACATCGAGCTTCGAGGATAATCCCAGGCCTTTCAAGTGGTCATAAACTGTTGAATTTGATAAATTTAACCTCAATCCGATCTCACGTGTTGTTATTCGCCGGTTCACATCAACTAATGCCTTTATCGCGTCTTTATCAGCTTCAACCGGCCTTCCCGAACGTGGTGCATCTTCGACATCAAAATTGCCGGATCGAAATTTAGCGAACCAGTTCTGGCACTGGCGTACTGTCAACACACCTTCTCCATACACATCAGTCAATTTCTTTCTGGCTTGAACAGCATTTTTACCCTTTCTGTAGTAAAACAGTAAGATATGTCGAAAATGCTGCTTATCGCTCTCCATATTTAAAAGGGCACCAACCAAAAACTACTGCGTAGAATTAATTGGAATTTTTCACACACAAGCCTTGCTATATGAGCTCTCAAAGCATATAAAAATTATACGGCTTAAATGTGAAGTTGGGTGCAAAAGAATACAATTAAATCCTCTGTCGGGAAAAAACGAAATGACTTTCCGAACAACCCGATATTTGCTAGTATGTGTTCATCGGTGTATATTACGTAATTAGATTCTTCCCGTCATTATAAGGGATTAAACAGGCTAGCACACCTTGAAATCTTACGTCTACTAAAATATTCGCACAATGGGATTTCAAATACCGATTGGATATTTATACATACGTGGTCTGTTTAAAAAGTATCGCGACTTGTGTTCTTTCAAAAATTATTGATTTATTCATGAATAGATATCTATTTTGTCCATATCAAAGTAATCCCTACCAGAAATCATACACTTGTACCAACGTTTTTTACAATCCTCGAAACAATTCAAAAAATCATTTTTTTTGATCTTGTTCAGCTTCTCCTTCGATGCCGTCTTTATCTCCTCAGTCGTAGCGTAGCGTCTTCCTTTCATGTGCCTCTTCAGTTTCGGGGACAAGAAAAAGTCACAGGGGGCTAGATTTGGGGAATACGGTGGCTGCGGCATTATTAGTGTGTTGTTTTTGGTCAAAAATTCCCGCATAAGCAACGATGTGTGAGCAGGGGCATTATCATGGTCCAAAAGTCAATTTTTGCTCTTCCACAAATCCAGGCATTTCTGGCGGATTGCTTCGCGTAAATTGCGCAAAACTTGCAGGTAATATTCCGTATTAACTATTCTATCCTGTGCACCACGCCCCTGCAATCGAAGAAACTACAACATTCGACCTAACTTGGCATACTTATCTCGGACTTGGTTCGTGCGGCAGCTTCGATTGGGATGATTTAGCTTTGGTTTCCTCGTCATAACCATAAACGCATGATTCGTCACCAGTTATAACCCTCTGGCGCAAATTTGAGTCCAACAGCTCCTTAGCAATGTTAAGGCAATGATGTTTTTGATCGAAATTGAACAATTTTGGTACGAATTTCGCGGCGACCTGTCTCCTGCCCAAGTCATTGGTAAAAATCGAATGACAGGAGCCAATCGATATTTTTAGATTTTCAGAAACTTCTCTAGTGCTGATTCGACGATTGGCCAATGTTCACATCTTGGTATCATCGATAAACCACAGTCAACATTCGGAATGCGTCGACGCAGTTAATTTTGTTTTTCACACAAAATTTGATACAGATTCTTTGATCAATTTTTTGGAATATGCAAAGATGGAAGACGAGCCAAAACACGTACAAGTAAAGCAACTGTCAAAAATTAACTGAACATTCAACATGGTCCAACTTGTCGGTATAAGTGAAAGACATGAGTTCCAACATAACACCACAAAAAAATCGAAAATCTATTATACGTAACCCACGGAAATGTAAAATTCGCGATACTTTTTGAACAGCCCTAGTATATTAGACAAATTTTTATTTATAAAGAATAAACAAAAGCATAGTTTATACTATAAATTTAAATTAAAGTTTATAATTTTAAAGTTCTAATCACCTCTATGGTATATTTAAAGGATTAAAGGATTTTGTCGTGTTTATTTTGGTTGTTACTAATTTGCATGAAGATTTATGAATTGTGACACACATTCGCTTTGAGAAATTTGTCTGAAATGTCGATTTCATTCTTTCTTCTTTTAAATTTATATTCATTTTGAAAACTGCTTTTATTAAAATACAGAAAAGTAATTATACTTACATATGTACATTTTTACGTATTTATAAACTAGAACATGTTGAAAGTCTTTTCAAGTTAATTATAAACCTATTAATTAGCCATTTGTTAATCTAATTACCGCTGTTACAGGTAGGTAATTGTTATTTACTATTTTCATGGTTCAAAATCTTATGTGGCCACGTCAAACTTACTTTTCTGTATGTTTCCTTAAGGTTTTAATTAGCACAAATGTTTCATGTTAAAATGCTTGAATTTCAACAAATCGTTCAATACTTCTTTAAGAATTTCTGATAAACGTTTTTACCTGCTATTCTTTATTCAATTTTTTCAACTAGATTAAAGGTAGAAAGAAGTTATTTCACGGTTATACATTTGAGTGTAAATATTGTGTTTAATGCCCATAAATAGTACATAAGTAATACGTTTTTGACATCCTATTAATTTCATGGTCTGTCAGGCGTTTTGGTTTCTGTATGACGGAATTTAGTGGACTACGGAAAAATATCATCTATTAAGTGTTTACGTAAAACAAATAGTACATTAAAATTCTCTAACAGTAATTTTACTTACCCAGGCAAGAAACATTGTAGAATAATCACTATCATTATAATATTTTTGAGAGCTAATAATGGCTTTTCTGTTACGTTATGTTAAAAAAATAATAGGTTGAAAGTATCCCAAAAAGGGCTATTTAATGTGAAAGCGTTTATTGCGAAAACTAATTTTTTAATAGTTGAATAACTTCATCAAAAGGTTCTTTATATTTATATCATCGTTAATCAAGCGGAAACATTAACTAAACCCAAAACACATAGTTGAATTTAAAAAACAAAAATACTGGTATGCAAGGGAAGAAAAAGTAGGGAAACAACGAATATAAAGACAGGAGACAAAAAATCAGTAGAAATGGCTGATTTTAAGTATCTAAGAAATCAGATAAGTCAGGACGGAAATAATTGTAGGGATATAAAGTAAAGGATAGTGCAGGGTCGATTTATCCAATTCAGTTCTTTAATAGATAGCCTCCATTTGAATTTATTAAAAAACCAAATAAAATAAAAAGAAAATACTTAAAGGTAATTTTAGGCGAAAGACAAAAGTTTGGCAATAATATGCGATCTCCTGGAAATAAACGGCGAACAACTGAAGCAGTGGCTTTGCACTAAAAAAATTACATCGATGAATGATGTAATTTTGAAGCCAATGACTGTAGAACAGGCCGTTATGGCTCGTGATGCATTGGCCAAGCACATTTATGCGGAATTATTTACGTGGATTGTTAATGTCATTAACAAAGCATTGGAATCTGACTCACCGAGGCACAAGTTCATCGGTGTTTTGGACATTTACGGATTCGAAACGTTCGAAATTAATTCTTTCGAACAATTCTGTATCAATTACGCGAATGAAAAGTTGCAACAACAGTTCAATTTGCACGTTTTCAAATTGGAACAAGAAGAATACATACGAGAAGAAATTGCGTGGACGATGATTGATTTCTACGACAATCAACCATGTATTGACTTGATCGAAGCGAAACTTGGTATACTTGACCTGTTGGACGAGGAATGTCGGGTAAGAGAGTATAAAATTAATGGGAATACTTCTTGATAGTACTAATTGTTGCCCCCTATCAGTCTCTGTGAGCTCGAAACTCACTTTTGTGAACAATTTGTTTAATCACTTTCTTTGTGTTAAAATTGTTTGAAAAATTAAATTTAAAGGAATTGTTTGTAAATAGGTATGCAACATATCGTACACTTCAGCATAAGAAATTGCTGATACTAACTACATAATACTAATACTTTGCCCTGTGCTGACAGCACTCATAATTTCTTTTATAAATAATGTTATATGTATTGATGAGCAAAATCGGTCTTACGAAAATGTATATACACATTTTTATTAAGAAGACTTGATTAATAACAAGACCAAATTAAAAAATGTTTCGGTGCACATTACACAATGAAGATGCTGTAGTAAAAGACGCTTTTGTTGTGCGGGTCATAAAATGTTTTTCCTTCCATTTCAGCCAGTCATACTCCAAAGTCTCAAATAAAATCCAAAATTTTTTATTTTCATTCCACGGCCTACGTTAAGTATCGTTTCTAATTCACAATAACTGAATTAGTCCTTTATCTATCTAAAAAAAAAGTCAAATACATGGTAATAAATTATCACGAAATGTTACACCTTAAAAAAAATATTGTGGATTTTAACCGACTACTTTTAAGTCTCATAAACGTACAGCGGAAATAATTGTTTGACGAAAAAACGTTTTAAACGTGTCAATTGTTCTTATGTTATTAAAACTTGTAATGTACTCTACGTTATACTTGTTAATCGTAGAAGATTTTAAACTAAAACAAAGATTAGAACAAATTGGCACGTTTGAAACTATTTTGGGTATATTATATTTCGTAAAAATCGACCGAAACAATTTTCCTGGAACGTTTTCGGGCAACAATCATGTTTAGATATTAGGTTGATGGTAATTTTTATGAATAAATTTTTTTTTTACTAATACAGATGCCTAAAGGTTCGGATGGATCTTGGACAGAAAAGTTGTATTCGAAATGCTCAAAATACAAACATTTTTCAAAACCCCGCTTCGGGAATTTCGCCTTTGTCATTAACCATTTCGCAGACAGCGTGCAATACGAAAGTGTGGGATTTTTAGAAAAGAACCGAGACACGGTCTTGGACGAACAAATTTTTGTATTAAAAAACAGTAAAAACAGTTTTGTCAGAAGATTGCTATCGGATAATCAGGAAAACATGCCGACATCTGGCAATAAGGTGAAAATAATGCCAGCAAAACCTTCAGCTGGGGCAAAAAAGAGTCACAAAAAAACTGTCGGTTCTCAATTCAGAGACTCGCTCAATTTACTCATGTCAACATTAAATGCCACAACACCACATTATGTTCGATGTATTAAACCAAATGACAACAAGGCTTCATTTGAATATAATCCACAAAGGGCCGTCCAACAATTAAGAGCTTGCGGTGTCCTGGAAACGATACGAATATCTGCAGCAGGATTCCCCAGTCGATGGGCTTATATCGATTTCTTTTATCGCTATCGGGTTCTTTGTCGATCCCGAGACATAGATCGCAACAACATGAGAAACACTTGCGAGAAAATATTAAATAAATATATCAAAAACAAGGACTATTATCAATTTGGTAAAACGAAGATCTTCTTTCGAGCAGGTCAAGTGGCCTATTTAGAAAAGTTACGAGGCGAAAAGCTCAAAAAATGCTGCATCATTATGCAAAGCACTGTTAGATCGTTTATTGCAAGGAAGAAATATTTGAGATTAAAGAAATTAGTATTCAATTTGCAACGTTATGCAAGGGGCTATTTGGCCAGACGGTACGTTAAAATTCTAATAAACTATTTGTTAAAAATTACTTCAAATCAAATTTTTGTAGACGTGCCAATAATTTGAGAAGAAACAAAGCCGCTATTACAATTCAAAGATACGTCCGCGGTTGGCTTAAACGTACTCAATATCAAAGAATCAGGAAAACCATCCTCGGATTACAGAGCTGTTGCCGGGGCTATTTGGCCAGAAAGAGGTTTATCTATCTTAAAGACAACGCAATGGTACACAATTAAGCGGCATCATGCAATGTTTGATGGGTTTATATATATTGTACTATTTGTAGGCCATCGTCATTCAAAGGTTTGCTCGTGGATATCTCGCAAGGAAATACTACAAAGATACAAGACGGAGAATCATTATTTGTCAAGCTGCCGTTAGAAGATACTTTGCCAAGAAGCAATACAAAAAGCTCAGAATCGAAGCCAGGTCAATCGAACACGTCAAGTCTCTTAACAAAGGTCTCGAAAATAAAATTATTAGTCTCCAGCAGAAGATTGAAGAACTTAATAAAACTAATTCTGAACTGAAGAACTTCCAGAATGAAGCTTTGGAATTAAGGTAAAAATTAAACATGCTGCTAAGGGTAATTTTTAATATTATCAAAGGTCAAAGGCATATAAATCTATAAATATTAAGATAATTATGATATTTCACTCATTTTATTTTTGACCATAAATTAATTGATGGATACAACATATTACATGTTGAAACGAATTATTATCCTTATTAAACTGAATTAAAACCTTTTTGTTTCAAATATATATTATATTTATTCGTCTGGCGATGAAGTCAATGTATGTCTACGTTACAAATATTTGGAACAAAGAGATTTTAATTTATTTTTATTAAATTATGTTCATTGGTTTCATTATTACTGCAAACATAATAAAATTAGTAGCAGTAACAACAAATATTAATTTATAACAACTATTTTTATTAACATTTTATAATCTTTTTAATGGAAGACGTTTTCAATCCTTCAAAATTCCAATGTTATTCTAATTAACTTCTTTCTATTCAAGGACCAAATTAAGTAAATTTAAAGCGTTAGAAATCGAAATAAGAAACCTCAACAACTTAGTCATCGAGAAAAACAAAGTAATCGACAAGCTTCAAGAAGAAATAAAAACGGAAAAAGATGATAAAGTAGACTTGGTCAACGAATTGGACAAATACAAAACTGAGATTAACGATATGAAACAACTTTGGACTCAGGAAACTGCAAGGCTTCGTAAGGAATTGGAAAATATGAACGAGATCGTTAAATCTAGTCAGCATGATACGGAAGAGGATATGAAGAAACGTTTGGAACAGGAAACTAAGTTACTTATAAATGAATACGACAGTGATCGACAGGCTTATCAAAAGTTGCTGCAAGAGTATCATTGCTTGGAGCAGCACTGTGAAGACTTGGAGAAACAGTTGCACAACCAGAATCGTCTGCTTCCGTTTCATAACAGAAATATTAGTGATATCAGTAGTATTTCAACAGTAGACGAAAGTCTGATAACTACAATTCATGAAGATCACGGTTATGGCTCAGTCAGGTCAACTACAAGCACAAGCTCTCGAGGACATTTAGACAACATCGATTGGAATGATAGTAAGATTTTTGCAAAATTTGTATTTTATTGTTATTTGTAAAAAATGATGCAGTTATAAAGAAAAAGGTGTTAATAAACACAAGGTTAACGTTGACTTTTTTGGTTTTTAAAAGTCGAATAAGATGTGTAGGTATGGCAATTCTGCATAATTACCATTTTACTATAATAGCTAGCAATTATCAGGAAAATGTTTTGAACTGATTATTTATTCTCTCTGATAATTTACTCTGATAAACTTTTTAATCTGCATTACTCGTTTAGTTAGTGCCGATCGTTTAATATCAGAGATAACACTACGTTTCCTAAAACGATGCTTTTGATAATTAGCAATTTTAAAATTAACGTAACTTTTCAGCGGTGAATGGTGTCGATAGCCACTCATCAGGTTCGCCAAACCAGAAAGAAAAAGATGATAAGATAAAAAATGATGGCAAAGTCGACGTAAATTTGGTTCTAAAATTGCAACATAAATTGGTTGAGATTGAAAGGGAAAGGGATAGGATGCAAAAACGTTTGGATGATATCGATATGTCTCCGAGGACGGAGAAAGAACGAAACGCAGCACATGATGCCATTAAGATATCAGAGTTAGAAGTTGCGAATTGCAACTTGAAGACGCAACTCTTCGAACTTAGGCGAAGCATTGACGACGGAACAGGGAGTAAGAAACTGGTAGAGGAGATTAGCAACTTACAAGAACAATTAGATCAGAAAATGGAGGAAATTGTACAGCTGAAAAGTATATTAGCAAATCAGACAAGCAATATGAAATCGTTAGTTAGTAACAAAATGAGACCTGGTAAGAAAATGAACTTATGCAATCCATAGATGTTTTTGATTTGTTTTTATTTTTTCCAGAATATATAAATGAGGATGGTGAATTAGCATTAGCTTACGAAACACAGAAGAGAATTAATAAACAGTTGGAGTTGGAACTTCAAGATGAAAAGGCGAAATTCAAAGCTTACGAAAAAGATTATAAAAACGAAATCGAAAAATTGCGAGAAGACAACGAACGTCAGCAACGACTGCTCTCGTCGAATTTAAATCCGCAATCGCAAAACGAGGCATACATGCAACATGAAATCACAAGGCTCACAACAGAAAATCTTAGTTTGCATGATCGCAATGATTTGCTCAATGAAAGTGTCAGAAAGCTCAAAAAACAAGTGAAAATATTGACCAGAAAACTGAAAGAAATCGGGCAAGATTTTGAAGATAACGTGATAGAAAATGAAATCAACAAAGAAAATGGAGAGGACAAGTATGGTCGAATGCAACCAGTGGTGAGAAAAAAAGAACGCGAATATTTGGGCATGTTTTCCTATAAAAGCGGCGACGAAAACGTTATTATGAAGCATCTAGTTGTTGGTAAGTTTTGTCGGAGCTTGTACAAATATACAGGGTGGAGTCACTAAGCCGAAATCGGTCATTCATAAACGTATACTTCAAAATAGAGAAAAATGTTTCAAATAAAAGTTGTGTAGAGTTATGTGTATAATAATGCAAAAATCTTTTCAAATATGACGGACTTCCGGACTTTAGACACCATCGATTGAACAGCGCGCGCTTTTTCCACCGTATTTCTTATTTGAATAGTTCATTTAACAACCATTAACACCAATTTTTCATTTTCAATATACATTAGCATATTCAATGAATAATATTAAACTTTAATTAGCTTTACCATTCAAGCAAAATGTTCTTATATCTCACTAAAAAAATAAGCGTCTATATTTAATTAATAAAAGGAACCGATGGAGCTTGATTTAAAATTGTGCCTTCATTTTAGAATTAAAACCACGTACAGCAGTTACTCTCCTTCCTGGTCTTCCAGCGTACATAATTTTTATGTGTATCCGCCATACCGACTACATTAACGATGAAGAAAAAGTAAAAGCGTTGTTGTCATCCTTTACGAACTCGGTTAAAAGGGTTGTCAGAAAACGAAACGAAGATTTCGAAACAATGGTCCTTTGGGAGTCGAACACTATCAGGCAAGCAATAAATTATTATTTACAGCATTTGTTATATGAATATTAATCAGCGTTTTGAATTTTTGCGAAACTCATTGAACGCCATGTATTTTTTAAAGATTATTACATAATATGAAGCAGTACAGCGGTGACAAGGCATTCCAAAGTAAAAATACACCAAAACAAAACGAACAATGCTTACGTAATTTCGACTTGTCGGAATATCGACAAGTTATTTCTGATATGGCTGTGTGGATTTACCAAGGTACATAACATAATTAAAACTTTTGGTTTTGTATGTAAAATGTACGTAAAATTATTTTGGATTTACAGGTGTTATTAAATTAATGGAAGAGAAGATTCAACATCTAATTGTACCTGCCATATTAGAACACGAAGAGATTCAAGGTTTTGGAGGGAAACCGAGCGGATTTAGGGGAAGATTGAGTAGCAAATCAAGCGAACTTAATAGTCCTGGACCTAAGCAGAAACCTTTAGACACACTATTACAAGAATTAACAAATCAATATAAGGTAAAATAAAAAATTGTTACACTAAATATTACACCCAGGGGCGCATGTATATAAGGGTTCTTTGGGCTGCAGTCTAGGACTCAGTAGATACAAAAAAACTCTAGCCTCTATTGAAAATAATAGACGATATTGTCATAAGGTTGGCAACCCTGCGATCAATCAACCCTTGTGTGCGTCTATCGAACGGAACGGGGAGTCCCCCGTTGCTTGTTTTCCGTCGATGTTTTTTTTTCGCAATACGCACTTATTATGGGGGACTTCCCACCACTTATCGTCCGATACAACTTTGTTTTTTTTCGCACTTTTGTTCTTGTTGTCAAAGTAACAAATTGACTTTGTTATTGTTAGAACTGTGTTAAAATATTTTATTGTTTTTATTTTTTTTTTCTATAAGTACGGTATACCTACATCATTATATACAACAGTTTTTTAACAAAATGGCAATTAGTTGAGTAATTAGGTAGGCCCCTGAGTAGTATTAGCCCAGGGCCCCACAAATTCACGATCCGCTCCTGTTTACACCTCATAATTTCTTATAAAACAATTTCGAATAAAACACTCTTGGAAAAGGATTAATACAAAATGAATTTGCCCAAAACTCTTTTTTAATTTTCAGATTCTTTCATTTTATGGGATCGACCCAGAAGTGATTTCGCAAATTTTTAAACAACTATACTACTTTATGTGTGTTTCTAGTCTAAATAATTTGCTCTTAAGGAAAGAATTGTGTAATTGGTCAAAGGGTCTCCAAATTAGGCACAATCTTTCACATCTGGAAATGTGGACGAGAGAGAAGAATTTACAGGTGCTTATTACTTTTTAAGATTTAAGACTTTCTTTTCAAGTATTGCTTTTTCCCATATTAAAGGAGAAAGACATTCAGGCCACTCTTCAGCCCATAATCCAAGCTGCACAATTATTACAAGCACGAAAGAATGACGAAGATGTCGACAGTGTGTGCGATATGTGTTCAGATCTTACAACTCTTCAAATATGTAAAATACTTAATCTTTATACCCCAGTGGACGAATTCGAACAAAAGGTGCCAGCCTCCTTTATCAGGAAAGTGGAAGCGAAACTTCGGGAAAGGTCCGATAGTAACAAGCAACAGGTAAATATACCGACGAAATGGTTAATATTGCCTCCTTCTGTTTATTGACTTCCATACCGCTCTATACTCTGCTACTTTTTCTCATTTTCTCACTCACATTTTAAACGTTTCGCACCCATGCAGAGCCACGCTCCGTACACTTTTAATAATTGAATTTCCATTAACCATTTGGGGACACAAGTAATTTCTTTTCAGCCTGAGTTAACTAACTTCCTAAATACAATAAATCGACTTCTCCTACTTGGTCTCCAATTTTTATATTAGCTTACTTTAACCTCTCTTGATAAAAACAATATTTTTTAATTTATTTTCATTCCGTGTTTATTGATATACGCATTTTGTAATATTATTGCAGACTCTTCTAATGGACATCTTAATGAAATTCCCTATACGTTTTCCATTTAATCCATCCGTTATTTGTCTTGAAGACGTAGAGATACCTGAGGTTTTGAAACTCGGTAAACTTTTAGAGAAAGTATAAATTGCATTCCTATTCGTTTTAACTATATTTTTCGATCGAAAATAACTGTAAGTGTTATTTATTTATTTTTGTATATACACAATTAGTACCAGTATTAGATATAATAATTTTTTTTTGCATGTTTCTGTGTGTGTTTTGTTTTACTAATATTCTGATGTTAAAAAGATACACAAAACAATCCATCGTCAATAATATATAAATGAAAATTGTTTAATAACGAAAATGCCTTAAAGAGAAGTGTGTTATTGTTAAAAAAAATCAAAAATTATTTATTTGTTATAAAATTGGCCCTTTATTCTATTCTCAGACAGAGTAAATGTTATTGAAGGTTCCATTAAATTGGGGCTAAATAACAAACATGTAGCTAATTTATTACGTACTAGAGGTGGTTTTATATTTTTTAAAAGAATTTACATAATATGTAGCTTTCTGTGATAAAGAACAACATTATTATTGATTGGTGGCAATATGCATATGTTCGCCAGTTTTTTTGGATTGCAATGATATTAATAATTATTAGACTTTCAGCAGGAAACTGCTTCGAAGTATTTTCCAAAATACAGGGTGTGTTATAGAAAATTATAAGCATTAAGAATCAGCTTTATTTCACAAGTGTGAAATGTTTCCATGCAGTTAATAAATAAATGAAAAACTATAAAAGTATTAAAAATAATTAAAACAATTATGGGGCTTGCTTCCTTGAAGTGAAAAAATTAAATGAAATTAAAAAAAAATGGGAAAAAGAAAAAACATGAATGCAGGACAGGAAATTGTTAAGTACTTATATTATTATACTAATACATTCGGAATCTATAGCTGTATTAAGATTTAGGCAATGGGCTACGGTCGAAATGAATGATTAAGTTCGCGCGTGTAATTGATGGTCTTTAGCGATACTACATTGAAAACGTGGGTAAAGATTATACCCCGATGTCTCCATAGTAACCGAATTCTACCAGCGCCTAAGTTATTAGTATATACTGAAAATATCAGCTACAATTTTCGTCATTTTGATTACGGCCCAACAGACCAAACTTAATTAAGTCATTATTTCTTTTTTCATATTGTTTATTAGCTAAAAAATTCAGATTCACACATGGCGTTAACATATTTTTTGGTGAGTATGTTTGGTTATGCACCCTGTATATTTGTAACAGTAAGAACATTCCTTAAAGGGCACACGTTTTCTTATACATGTAGGTTCTACGTATATATCTCCAAATAACTATAGTATGTATTTGCATAGTGTGCCATTTAGAATTCGAATAAGTACTTCAAAATAATGCAAAAGATATTGGCGAGATTTTGGGTTCTCCATTTTACTTAGCAACAATATTTTCGTACGTATTCAATGCAAGAAAATATGAGCAAAAGAAAAGAGGGCAAGCTCGCCATGGTAGTAAAATTTAGATTAAAAGTATAGGATATTTAATGCATGCTCTTATAGGCACTGCATTGCATACATTCGTAGGTGATATGTTGTAAAATACTATGTATGAATGTAATATATTTATTTGATAAGTTAATTTTCCAGAGGTTTACGAATGTTGAAATTAAATGTGTTCTGGTATGGTATATATTTATAAAAAAATGTTATTGTTAAAGAATACGCAATTAAAGGTATATTTATATTTACAAGCTACACAACATACATACTCTATGCGTAAGAAAACAATAACAGTACCAAATTTAACGAATGTTAGATAAAATATAAAATAGAAGAATTATTAATGGTTTTTTATATTCCCACAATATTCACGTATTTAACTGACTAACTTACAGCTAATTAACCAAAGTAAATAGTAGTAAATGATCAGTTAGCAATAAACTTACTATTAAATAATAAGCAAAATTTTCATTTTCAGCACTTTTGCGGGGTATCTCCGTTGTTTTTAACGGTAGAGGGTTGCGGTGTTCGCGAAACTACTTTTTTGTGAAATGAAAGATAACGCCAGTAGAATTTTTAAATCTCTTTTGATTTTTAAAATATAGGATGGAATTGAAAAGTATCACCTTTCAAGCACCCTCCCCCTCCCGTATATTAGTTATTTTTAATGCTATTGAAAAAGTTAAAATTTATTCTTATAGTTTTTTTTTCCATAGAATCCAGTGGCATAGTCAGACCTGTTCTAGCACCTTCCGTATTTTAGTTAATGACGCAAACATAGTTTTTTTTTAAGTAGAACACCCTGTACATTAATTTTTGTATTAGGCGTAATATGGACTTTCCAAGAGTATATAATTACATACAATAACTGAGAATCGACGGAATACCTCAAAGGTGATACTTTTCAATTCCACCCTGTATCTCAAAAATTAAAGGGGATGTAAAATTCTGGAAATTTCACAAGAAAGTAATATACTGTCGCAAAACCAAAATCTTCAATAACAATGGGATACCCCGAAAAAGTGTTGAAAATAGGATACCTTACTCATTTAACATTTCTTTTTATACTAAAACTTCAAAATATTTTCTAAGGGATCTAAGCAAGTTTTTATGATTGTGCAAATAACATAAACACCGTCGAACTGTGCAGCCATACAGGAGACACTTCTTAGTAATTCACAAGTGTAAGTACATCTATGGTTATCCTTTCTATGTTAATGTTGAGCGCAAATGTGCGAATAGCTCCGCTGCACGGAGTGGCATACCATCTCTCTTTCATACACAGGTGCTTATGAGTCAATGTAATACCCACTATATCTTACCATCTTATCTATGATAAATAAAAAACATAACCTAGTAATAAACAATTTTTAACAAATATTTTAAAGAATTTTGGAAAATGCCTGCTGTAATTCTGTTGGACGTTTCATTATCAATGCTAAGACCGGTGAATGGTTCAGAGAATAGTGAAACTACTCGAAAACACTTGGCTATTCAAGGAATTGGTGCCTTCTTGGACTGTCTGGGTGTGCAATCAAAGCTGGAATTTATTTCTTTGGTAAGTACTCCTAAAAAACGAGGATACGAAACCAGTTTATTATTAAAATGAATTTACACGTTAGTTAGGTTCATTCTGTCTGTTTTTAAAGATGTATACATTGTGTTAAAGTTATGAATTTACAAACCTATAAGTCAAAATGATAATTTAATTTGATGCATTACTTATTGTAAAAGATCAAAACATAAAAACAAACAAGTAGTCATAATTTTTTATTTTCACATTAACTACTGCTGTAAGAATAAAACTTTTCAGTTACAAATTGAAAAGTTATAAAGCATGCAATGAAAATAGATAATTACTATTAAATTCAGGAAATTCAACAGACATTTATTCAGTCTACTAATTGTTACTGAACACAGAGGATATAACAATCATTTATATCTTAATATGAAAAATATTATGACAACTAAAAATTGCAATTATTTTATGTGATTTAAATCATCCATTTAAATGTTAGTTAAACTAAATAAAACTTCGTGCTATTTAGAGTTTGTAGCAGCTTGGGCAGCTTTCTTTGCTTTAACAATTTCAACCAGTTCTTTAAATCGTTTCATGCACTCTTTTTTAGTACGATTTGATACACATTCGGCAACTCTGTCCCATCTATCTGGTGTTGAAGCAGGATAGGTTTTTAATGCTTGTTCTAAAAGCTGTTGTTCTGCTGCTGTCCAAGGTATCTCAGATTTTGTTTCTGATTTACTTGCCATATTTGAATTGTTTTCAAGTTTTGTTTTTACTCCTTTAGACTTAGGTATATGTGTCTCAACTTTTTTAGTAATGTCTGAATTTTCAACTATTTTTTGAGATTTCTTTTCTTTTTCAAAATTGTCAAAGGCACGTCTGTTGGCTGCTTCTTTAAGGTCACTCTTTGAAAAATCAGTATTTTGTAAATCTTTAGCTTTTGCTAGAACATCTTTTGCATTGAATTTTAAATGTCCATCAGGTATTGTTCCATGTTGGTTTATAAAATTTGCCACAACTTCCCATCTCTGATTTGTTCCTGCTGGAAATAAATTGACAGCTTTGATAAGTAGTTGAATGTGATCTTGAGTCCATTCTGCTTTTAAATTTAGTCCATTTTGTAGTGCTTTAGATTCTTCTGTACCTTTCTGGTAGGCTGCTTGCAGAACTTTTTCTCTTTCTTCTTCTATACGTTTTTCACAGATCTGAAGAGCTGCAATAAAACTTTCTTTACCATTGACTTGTAGTGTTTGATTTAAATGTTCCAGTTCTGCTAAAGTAAATGTTTCACAAATTTTATCAACTCCTTGCATATGAATTAGATTTTCTTGGTCGTTTGCAGAAAAATGGTTGTTGTTTTTGCAAGTATCGCGAAGCATCTTACGTTCTTTTTTAAGAGCCTTTTTTTGTGCTTCACGTTCTTGTCTTTTAGCTTCAGTTCGAGCTTTCTCTTCAGCATCAGCTTTTTCTTTTGCTTTCTGAGCTTCTTTCAGTACTCTTTCTTCTTCTTCCTTCTTTGCCTGAGCTGCAGTTTGTTTTGCCCTTTTAGCTGCTAATTTTCGCTCTTTGTCTTCTTGTTTAAATTTAAAAATACGAGGATCACTGTTGTATACTATATCAACCAGATTACGAATTCTTGACATCTCTTCTTTCTTTTTCCTTTGTCTTTCAGCTTTATTAATCTTCTCACACATCCTTCTTTCATCTCTGTCTTGACATTTTTCTTTATCTTCTTCGTCCTCATAGGAATACTCTCTCCACGATTTAAAACTATACCAAAATGTATAGAAATTATCTACATTTATCCTTGAAGAATTTTCATCTCCAAATAAAGGAACTTTTGGATTTTCTGACCATCTTGAATTTAAGTCAAAATAGTATTTTGCTACTTTGTAAAAATCCGTTTTTAATTCATTTACTGTTGGTATAGAATTATCAAATTCAGGATCAACCGAATCATAAGCTCTTCTCTTTATTGGATTTCCTAAAGTTTCATATGCCATTGTTATACATGTATAATAATCATCATCAGGCCTTATTTCTTCACCTAGGGCTTTTCGCTTGTCAGGGTGATGTTTTAATACAATTTTCCTATAAGCAGCTTTGATGTTTTCATCTGTTGCTTTATGCCTTAATTTTTGTAGACCTAATACTCTATAATGGTCCTGCTTTTTCCATTCCTTGGGATCTAAACTACGTAAGTAATTAACATCAACTTCAGTTGCAATTTCTTCCTCTTCGTCAGAGCTGTTTGTTGATATTTCACATTTTTGTACTTCATGGGGTATAAAACGAATTTCTGGTTCTCCATTTTCTCCAACTACTTCTATAAAACGGTAACGTATCGCAACTGTTTTGCAAATATTTTCTAGTATATTTGAGCCCATTTTTTATTTATGCATTTTATTTTTAAAAAGTATAATACTGGTATTTACAAGATTTTGAAAATTTCACTAAGGTACCTATTCCACATGACGGAACTTCCTTACCGACTTTTTTTATTAAACATAACCTTCAATCTAATTTGTTCAATTTTCACATGGCAACTGTCAATTGTTGATAGTATTCAGGTAGTGTCACAACAACCTGATGAAGTAAAATTATATTATTTAAGAAGTTCTTTTATGCTTTCAGATGACTTTCTCGTCTTTTTACCAAGAAAGATGCGGATTTACAAGAGACTATCACTTAATAAAACAAGAACTGCATAACATAGAGGACTGCGATAAAACATGTATAGAAACCGCTCTTGTTGGAGTTAATCAGTTAATTTTAAACGAATGGGGAAATAATACAGCCTGCCAAGTGAGTACCATTTTAAGAAGAGGAATTTCTTCATTGTGTAAGTTAATCTTCACTGAAACCGGTTACATTCAAAATTATTACCATTACAGATTATTTTGATAACCGATGGAAACCCGGGAATAGGCCCTATGTCATTAAAAGAATCATTGGCAAATATAAGTCATAGACCAGCAAATAATCCATTTCCATTGCCGTTCGTTTTCCCAGCAAAACTACATGTAGTATGTATTGCTCCTCCAAACGATACATTACTTGTAAAATGTGAGTTGCGACTATTTAAATTTGTTTTTGTATGCATTTAGTTTTTACAGCTAAACCTTTATATCAACGTTTGGTTGATATGTGCGGATATGATGGAATGGTACTGATTCCGGAAAACACATTAACTGAGTCGTCGGTGATAAGTTTATTTCAAAAATTAGCAGAGGAAATGTATACATCATTCAAGGGGATTTTGAAGTGTGGAAATTTAGAATCAAAGATCATTCTGTCTCCGGCTCCAGTTGTAAGTATTTTAATGCTGTTGTTAATTGATCTATAATCTTTACAGGGCATTACTGCATTTGTAGAAAAACTATTTGAGTATATTTAATTTTTTTATATGCATATCGAGAGGTATTTAGAAATTTATTTCTAAACAAATATTTAGATTGAAAGCACATAATTAGTCAAATATTAGATACATTTATACAACAGTTAAAAACTAGCTTTATTTAATCGGAATTATGAGTTTTGTTACTTGGCTTATTTTTGACAAAGAGGCTTAACATTATCCAAATTACGAAATTTTGTAAATCTAAAAGACAAAAACTGTATGATTATCAGCACATTGAAAAGACATTATGTAACAAGCCATGTGATCAGTATTTTTTGGGAAAACTATTATTTTTTTAAAAATTAGATCAAAAATTTGTTCTTTTTCTCATTGCTCTCATTTCTTAACATTCCTTAAATCGGTTACGGTTGCTTGCCCAATGATTATCACTGTTTGTTTGGATAAGTAATGGTTTTTAAGGAGTTTTATATGAAAAGTGCCGATATTTTATAATCAGTTACTTTAACGGTTTATAAGCAGAACACCTACCGAAATATTAGTAAATCCAATTAATTTTCTTTTTTCAGCCATTCACGAAGGTAACCGATTTTGATTGTCAAACGCAAGTTGTTTCTGACATTATCGAAGTGTGTGGTTTCATCCCCATCGCTGATGTAGGTTCTCCGATGGCTGTAAGCCGGCATCTTATTTTACCCGCTAGTATGACTAATAACAAAGAAAATGTCCCATTAAAGATGGACGTCGACACGACTGTTGACGATGAGGCGGACGAGGGTAAAATTCCCTCTTTTTGTGTGTTGCTTCATGGCGCCCTTAAAGTAGAAAATATGGCAGCCTTGGTCACCTTAGGTGAAAGTTGGTTTGGGTTTGTTTATTCCTGGGCCGATTCAAAAAAGAAATCGAATCTTATGTTGACTGTGTTAACTCCCGGATCAGATGCAGTACCATGGTTAGGTGATTTGAATTGTCTCAATACACCGGATAATTTGACTCCAGAACAGATAGGAAATTTTCCCGTTCGACCATCGGAAAAGAGGAGTTATTCTCAAAATGGGGTAGTATGGATTAGGCAAGCTGGATTGCAGTCTGATATCCAGAAAATATTGAGACATGCTCGGAAATTGCCGGAGAAAACACAGCAGTTTTACAAGGTGTGTTTAGTTGTTTTATATTTGGTAGGGTAAACTTAAAAACGAACGAAAGGCTATGGAGTACAGAAGCATAATATCACTCCTACTATTATAATATTTTTACGTAATTGCAAAAGAGGTACATTTGTGTTAAACAGGATATTCTGTAAAAAACATTTACGTATACTTTAGAGGGGTATATTATTATTAATAAAACAGCATTCGTTAAATCTAGACAATTTTAAATTATTCAATTAACTAAATGAAAGAAAACAGGGAATTTTGAAGATAACAGCTAAAAATAATAATTTTCTATCGATAGATTTTGCTAAAATGCTCTCGGAGTTACAAAATGGGCTAATTTCTATAGTCAATGACAACAATTCATTGTTGCAAGAAGCATATTTGAATATAACTTAATTATTAAATTAATTAAAATGTATCACTGTGCATCTACCGCTAAATTAATATCGCTTATCAAAAAAAAGTATATAGTTGTACATTCTGTTGTTTCTGATGTGACAGATGTAACTTAAAAAAAATAATACTTTCAATTATTGTGGATATGTAATTTTCATTAAGGAGGGGGTAGTTATGTGTTGTATAAAAAAACAATATATATTGTTGCAGTAATGATTTTTTTGTCTAGTAGTTGTAGTATACAATAAAAACATTAAATTATATTAGGGCCAATATTAATTTTTTTTTTGTTTCAGGAATTAAATCGATTAAGAAAAGCGGCGATATCGCTGGGTTTTATGGAACTTTTGACGGGTTTGGCGTATATTTTTGAGCAGGAATGCACCCAACTACCGGGGACAGCTCATCCGGATTGCGCTTTGCAATTAACTCATGCAGCAGAACTCTTACGAAAAACACAAAATAATGACATAAAATATGTAATAATTCCAATGCAAACGGATTATACTACATCATAAAATCATTTTGTAATCATACCGTGTAAGCTATTATTTCTTCAATTTCTTTTTGGAAGGCAAGTCGTTTATTTAATTCTTTCGTTTCTGTATTACAAATGTTTTTATATCTATTCAATATTCAATATAAATATTTTATAGTTAGATACAAATACTATAATGAAT